ATAATAAAAACTTAAAGATCAGCATAAATGAGATTGCAAATCGTAAAGAATCAGAACTGATATTCAAGAGTGTCCTTTAGAATGACAAAGAAAAAACAAAAAAAGAACACAAACAGGAGTCTATAGAATTCCGTATGAAAATAAACAGTCAAGAAAAATACATCAAAGTCACAAAAAGAAATCTGGAAGTATACTTTAAAGAAAATAAATACAGTAGAGCGTCATCTATCCAAATCAATTGTGGACTGGGGTTGTTTGGATAACTTACTTTTCGGATAACCAATTACGTACAAAAAAATATATTAACCTATCCCACGTTGAAATTTTTCTTTGTTGCGTGTCGCTTCGTGTTGAAATTTCGTCAATGTTAAGCCTAACGTAAATTTTTAAAAATAATAATCGTGGCTATTGTATCGTTAAAAATTATTTCTTTATTTTATACAAACAAAATAAATATATTGAAAAATATAAAAACAAAAAAAATTATATTTTGAAAGTTAATCTAATATCAAAAATGTTTGATTCAGCACCACACAATCCGACTGGAACGCTTTCGGTTAAACAACATTTCGGTTGATTGGCTTTTGGATAAATTATTCTCTACTGTACATCAATAAAGGACAGTGTTGTCCACCATGGTACAGGTGAAAGGATCAATTGTAAAATGGGAGGAGGATGATGACATAAAACTGGTGCATTCACCATCATCAGCGATGAGAATGAAAAAATTAAAAATGCACAGAAGCAGAGTAATAGACAGTTGTCTGAATACTTTTGACACTGAATGGTTACCATCAGCATGGAAATACATCATGGAGAGAAAACTAAAACATGCCAATTTGTAGATTGCTCTTGGGTCATAGTAGTAGTAACCTTTCTATACATTTTTCATATTTGGCTTCTCATTGTATATTTAAATATTATAATTGGGCTGCAATTTGAAAAGATTGTAGATGTATAAATTCCCACTGTTGTCCATCCATCTGTCTTTCCTTAATCTTGAGAATGGAGTTAGATAGATGAAAGACAAGAGGAGATATGGAAACCTTAAGGGCAGAAGGCCCTATTAACTAATTTCTGACACAAACCAGAAGTCATGTTATTTGAATTCAAAAATTTTCCCATGAAAGATGTTAGATAGATGACTGGATGACTATTGTTAAAGGAAAAGTATGATGTACTGTACAAGGGGAGGCCATTACTAATGTGATTATATGTTTATTATTAATTTAAGTTTAGTTTTGTGTAACATTCATCTTTTCAAAGTTGTTTTGTATTCTTTTATTCATATTTAAATTTGTTCTATTCAAAATTTCCTTAGAATGTTATATTCTAATGACAGAATGTAATTTAATGCTTGAAGATGGCTTGTAGAACTAGCTGAAAACGTTTGTGATAATTATACAAACACTTTCCTTGGCAAAATAAGGTGTTATATGTGATCAATTCTACAGTTAGTGAGAAAAAGTAAATCATTTGTTTACTGTATTTGTTGGCATATAAGACATACTGTTCCCTCCTGAAAAATACTTTCTGAAAATATGATGTGTCTTATATGCCAGCACGCGCGCGCGCACACACATACATATATATATATATAATATATTTTTATTTAGGAAATGCATAGTTGTTGCAATGTTGTTGTTGTTTATATTTGAATATCTTTTTTTGTTTTGTATCTAAATACATTTTAAACACCAACTGTATAGAAATTACAGTACTTTCATTTTTGAAAAAGTAGCATTGTTCATACAACAGTCAAATGTTAAATGCAATATTGTAATTGACAATAAGTACGCAATATATAACAATAATCTGTGTGTAAGTGCCACAAAAACAAAACAATTGAAGTTACTATGTGAATTTCAATTTTATAATAAGGTTAAAGTAAAACAAGAATAAATTTAAACAATTAAAAATTACAATTTTCATGATGAACTCAGGATATTTTCTTCTAATAATAATTCTTCAAAAATTAGAAGTTCAGACTATTTACAAAAATATTGACTCATGACATTGACAAAAACATCATGAAAATTAAATTTACTGGTTATAGCTGTATATTCGTTTGTTAATGGTTGTCTCTTTGAAAAAACAAAGAAAAAAAAGTTTGTATGTATATTTGTTGTAAAAGAAAAAAACTTCCTTCCTTTTTTAAAAATTTTTATCACTTAGTTTGTATCATTGTTTGTCATTTATAGCAATATTTTCATCATATTACATTTTACGCCCAGTACTGGTGTTTTAGTAGAATATGTTTCAAAGAAAAAACCTGTACGTATGATTTTTTTGAAAACTTTATATAGTTTTTTAAACTACTTGTGTGTCACTAAATTTTATGATTTTTATGATTATGTTATTATTGATTATAGCAATTGTTAAGTCATACTGCAATTCATAACAATCCAACTGAGGATAAAAAGAAATGTGTAAAATCCTTAAAGGTACTAGTAATTTGTTTATGTTGTGTTACTTAACATCTAAATACTTTCTTAATTTTTAATCTGTATAAATTTTTGTCAACTTAATATCTATAATTGTAATTTATAGAGCACTGAAGAGGAACTGGAAATATGAAACCAGTTCAAAATGCATATGTAAAAAATGTAATAAAAGAATTCATTAACATGATGCTGTAAGATAGTCTACTGAAAGAATACATCAGATTAAAGAGACAACCATTAATAACATCATGAAAATTGTAACTATATGCAAATGAAAAGATAACTCGTATCCACCACTAGAGGGCTAGAACCTGATACAAATTGGATAAAAACTTGATAGTAGGGTGAGCTAATGTAACGGGTACTTCTGTGGTTGTGTAAAAAAGGATTAAGTGATAGACTCGAAAATTAAATATTTTTGTAAATAGTCTGAACTTCTAATTTTTAAAGAATTCTAGTTGAAATTAAAAATTAATTATAAATTCCTCACAATGATTGATACTCCTTCAGTATGCTTTCTGGTGGCTTTGAATATGTTATCTATCTTTTAATATTTATCTTGTATACTAGTACTTTATCAATTAACAGGACTTCTTATACTGGATTTATGGATGCAGAAATATAGTCTATAGCCAAATTTCTGGAAAATTGGAGAAAGCAGAGAATGGAAAATTCAGCCGAAGAAATAACAAAAAATAAAAATATTATTTCTGATCTGTAAGACTAAAATTCTGCATCCGTAAATCCAGTATAATAAGTCCTGTTAATTGATAAAGTACTAGTATACAAGATAAATATTAAATTAAGATATAGGTCACAAAGGCATAATAATGTTATCTACCTGTTTATTTCCACAAATCCCTATGTTAATAAAATGCTATATTTAGTTATTTAAAATATTAAATGTTGGTTGGAAATGCAGTACACCTAAATGATGATATTGTATTATATAACAGCATGTACACACCAACTGATTACAACATACATATTTATGTGATGAGATTAGAATTATGAATGGCCTTGGGAATCATGCACCATTATCACAATTACTTTTTCGTTCAAATTACAATGGGAGTCCCGGAGTAGAACTTTAATATAGTTGAGGACCATCAGTATTTTAACATTACTTAACATAAACACATCTACTTTAAATATAGTAAACTTAATTATCAGCTTTACTAAATCAAAGAAATGAAAATTTAGAAAGGTAGTTGTCACTTCTAGAAAAATCAGCTATAGAGATTATAAATAAGAGCATAGCATGGATATAAAGAATATTTAACTTACAAGTAAAGCAATGTTTTCATATTTGTGAAAGCAATATTATTTTCAAGACAAATTTAATTTATTTTTGTTTAATTTATCCAAATCAATTACAGTAGAGTCCTGAAAACTCGGCACTGGATAACTCGGCCACACCCTGGCAGGGCAAAAAAATCCTTAGTTAATTAATTTTCATTATAGACAGCTTTATAAAAGTATAAAAGCTCTCATAAAGTATTTTTCTGAGGTCTGTCTTATCAGGTAAATTACTGTACACAGTGTATTCATTAATTTTCATTTTCATGTAGTAAAGGCTCTATGCCTTCATAAAGGACGTACTTTTCCTTTGTTTAAGGGTATTTGGGCAGTTTATTCTCTGTTATATTCTCAAGTAAACAATACATACAAGTACAGTACAGTATTTTCTGAGGAAACACTCGTACTTATTTTTTTTAACCCCATTCCCGATAACCCGGCATTTTCACAAACTCGGCCACCCTTCGGTCCACATTAGGCCGAGTTTTCGAGGTTCTACTGTATATTTATTTTGTTTGTACAAAATAAAAAAATAATTTTTAACGATACAATAGTCTTCGTTAAGCTTAACATCGACGAAAATTCAACGCGAAGCGACACGCAATGGAGAAAAATCTCAACACGGGATAAATTAATACAGTAGAACCTCGAAAACTCGGCTCTCGATAACCCGGCACTCCGGATAACTCGGCCACACCCTGGCAGGGCGTAAAAATCCTTAGTTAATTAATTTTCATTATAGACAGCTTTATGCCTCATAAAGTATTTTTCTGAGGTCTGTCTTATCAGATAAATTACTGTACACAGTGTATTCATTAATTTTCATTTTCATGTAGTAAAGGCTCTATGCCTTCATAAAGGACGTACTTTTCCTTTGTTTAAGGGTATTTGAGCAGTTTATTCTCTGTTGTATTCTCAAACAAACAATACATACAAGTACGGTACAATATTTTCTGAGGAAACACGCATACTTATTTTTTTTAACCCCATTCCCGATAACCCGACATTTTCACAAACTCGGCTACCCTTCGGTCCACATTAGGCCAAGTTTTCGAGACTCTACTGTATTAAAAATTTGAACTAACACTGCCATATAAGAAAACCAACAATACAATCTTCAAAATATTAGAAATTTTTCAATAATCAAATTTTGAATTAAGAAAAGTTTACTGTACATTAAATCACAAATATATTATTTATATTATATTCATGTTATTTGATAGCGAAAAGATTAGAAATATCAAAAGTAAATCTTACAGAAAAGTTCTCTCTTTTTCTATTCATTCTGTCATCAAAGTCAGGATTTTTCAACATTTTGTCTCTTGGATTGGCCTCTTCTATCTGAGGAAATTGTGTACCTGTATAATATAAAAATTACATTAATTAAGATAAGTACCTCTTATTATTTAATGAATGTAATTAGTATTTAATTAGGCAAATAAATTATAATTAATCAGTTAAAATATAATACTTATTTTGTAATTATTAGAATTTTAATTAAGTAAAAAAATCAACATTTTAAGTAGATGTATCAATTTCTTTATATCAAAAACAGAAAATGTTTAATACAGTAATTAAAAATAGAGCCAAAAATTCCTATATCAACCTATTATGTGATATACATCATTATATAGTTAAGATAAAAAGTATTTTATAATATACAATAGCGAAGTTGAGGCCAGAGTTTTAAATGCAAAAACTGTATGTCGGACGTTCAGCGTCACTTTCCTGTAAGCCTAGAAGTTTGACAATGGTATTTGGAATACCGAGCATGATTCCACTGACTATCCAAACACTATCGTCAAACTTCTAGGCTTACAGGAAAGTGACACTGAATGTCCAATGTACACGTTTTCGCGTTTAAAACTTCGGCCTCAACCTCGCTAATATTAGAATAGCATTCCTTTTCCAGAAAAGTAGCTAAATACCTTTACAATTTCAACATACATTTAATTAAAAATGAATATTTTCAGTTTATTTTATAAGATATCTTCAAGTTTACATTTTAAAGTACTGTACTGTACATCAAACAGGGTTTGTCCAATAAGTATTGAGAGTGATTTTTTCCCACCAGTGGGAAGGGATGGAGGACTGTTTCTATGTGCGGGATCGGTGATGGGGGATGTCACATAAGCTACAAGACCTGGCTCAGTTGTCTCCAAGCCCTTGGAGAGTATAGATCATGACTGAAGTGAAAGTGTGTTTAGTGCTCATGTAAAGAGTCAAGATGCAGCAAGAGCATCAAGCAGCATTTTTCCATCAAATTTTGTGTTAAATTGAACAAATCCACTACTGAGACTTTCGATATAATCCGTGAGGCTTACAAGGATGAAGCCATGTCCAGAACGTGTTTTTGATTAGCATAAAAAATTCAAAGATGGCCAGCAGACGCCAAAGATGAACAATGCACTGGATGTCCGACAGTGATCCGAACCAATGAAAATGTGGCCAAAATGAGAAAACTTTTGAGGATTATGGTCCATCACATCCAAAAGGAGATTGCTGATACCTGGATGCTCCATCATGACAATGTGCCAGTCATACGTCTCTAATTGTGAGGGAGGCACTGGCCAAACACAACTTGTCAACACTGTTCCAACCATCCTACAGTCCAGATGTGGCTCCCTGACTTCTTTTTGCTTCCTCATATCAAAGGATCCTGAAAGGACATCGTTTCAGGATGATTGAAACAGTCCAAGCAGCTTCGACGGGGTGCCTGAACAGCCTTGCCGTTGCCACCTTTCAGGAGGCATATGAAGACTGGAAAAAGCATTGGCAGCAGTGTATTGATGCAGGAGGATCATATTTTGAAGATTATTAGCTCACTGTACATATATCTTCAATTATTTTTTTTATGACTTCAGTCCTGATACTTATTGGACAAACCAAGTATAAGTACAACAGAGCAGAAAACAAATTCCAGAAATACTAATGATCAAACAATTTGAATCATTTTATAAACCCTTGTGAATATGATATGTAATATGATTCAAATCATCTTGAATATGATATGTAATATGATTCAAATCATTTGTATTTTCAAAGTTGTTTTCTGTTCTATCTTTAGAATCTGAAGATGATTTTTAACCAAGATTGAAAACATTAGTTGGTTATTAAATTGTATTTTGTTACTGAACTTAGCTGTATTTTGAGTTAATTATGAATAAAATACAAATTAAAATTCTTGATAAATTCTAATACAAGAATGGAATAATCCACTGTTTGATTACTTTTACCTGTTTGATGATTATGCTTGAACAAATATAAAATTGCAAATGAAAGTGGCTCAATTCCCTTAACTGAGATACTTTATGTACTGTACAAGGTGGTAACAAAAGTTCATCATAGTTATTATTTCAACAATTAATAGGGCAATTACTGTAGATCTTTTTCCAATCTATACTACACCAGCATGCACTAAACAATAGAGCAAATTTCCACCTTCTCCAACCCTTCTATCAAAGAGGGCTATTATAATTTCAGCCCTTAATGAAAATAGAACATTGTCAATTATAATGTTGTAACACATGAAAAAGTATGTACTACAGGTAACCCCCGTATAACATGGCACTTCTATAGCACAAATTCACTCTAACACAGTTCGAGAATTGGGAACATCCTCGTATAACACGGTGCTTTTATAGCACGGGTTCACTCTAACACGGTTTGGGAATTGGGTAAAATCCTCATACAACATGAAATGTAATAAAGGGTACATTCTTTTATACCTCCATGCAAGCATTCTAATTGTTTCCGTGGCTACTTTGAATGCTCTTTCAACAAATAATCCATTTAATGATTAAATTTTACAATTGGGACCCTTCTTTTGCCTCTAAAAGCTCATTTTAGAATTATAGATTCCTCCATCACAATACTATCAATAGTGCGGGCGCTGCCATCTTTCTTTCACTGTCGTTCCTAAATGCCTACAAACAGCAGCACACTCCTGTTGCAGAGCGACTGCTATTAACAAACGCACCCAAAAACTGTTACCAGTTGATGATGCTCATGCTGAGATCATCATATAGGATAAATAATCCTCTGGTAAAATATTTACTTAAATAATAAATAAGTATTTTACCTATGAAAAAAATGAATAATAAATCCAATTTAAATAAAGATTTAATAGCATGTCTTAATTTTTGGAACCTAACCCCTCTTTTCGCACTAGTTCTTTGTTTCGTATAACACGGATTCGCATAACATGGCAATTTTTTGGAACGTAACTCCCATGTTATAGGGTGTTACCTGTATTTCCTTTTAGTGTAATCCAAAATATCGAGTGGAAATCTGGAACTCACTATCAAATATGACAAGTAAATACTTCACTACATAACAAGCAAATTATCCAGTTTAATAGAAAATATCATTTTAACTTAAATTGTCTGCAAATTCAACTATTTGCATTGTATTCACATTATGCAGTGATGCACTGCTACCCCTTGCATCACTGCATAACATGAATACAATGCAAATAGTCTACTTAAAATCTGAATTGCTTGATATCTGTTTAATTAATTAGCCATATTGTAGCCCAATAAGAATCCAGCTGTAACATTTGATTATTAAAGTTACAAAAGACTTTTATAGCATGAAGATTAGATCAAAATCAAAAAACAATCAATACTTTTTTCACTTATCATTGACTGAATGGAATATTTAATAATTAAAAACAAAATTTAATTAAAGTGAAAATGAGATACACTTGTTAATGATGATGATATATCTAATTTTTCACATCAATTTTTATATTTTCTAGCAATTCAGAAATGTAAAAGAGGAACTGACTGGATATATACAACACAAAAACAAAGCCTTTCAAAATACAGCAGCAATTTAATGTATACAAATGTTTTCAATGACTTTCCTTGGGTAAATACATCAAAAGAAGAAATGAAACAGAGTATAAAAATTTAAAATTCCAGGTTGCAGATTTGCTGCAAACTGTTTACAGAACACTGTTCTGTAAAATGGAATTTTAAATTTTTAACATTGTTTTTCATTTCATTCCCTGTTCTGAAGTATTTGCCCAAGGAAAGTGATTGAAAATAATAGAAAACATATGCATTAAATTGCTGTTGGATTTTTAAAAGGTTTTGTTTTCTGCATTTAAATTTAATTGTCAAATAAAATTCAGCTATTTCAAGATATGATAGAATTTCACATCCTATTCAGAACTGAATAATCTCATTAGAGATCTAAATTTCTTCAAAATGGAACTAAAATTTCATATTCTGACTCTCAAATTTCCTAGAAAAGAACAAGACAGTAACTTCAATAGATAATAATTTCACTAAAAAGAAATCATATAACTTCATGTATATTTTAATAAATAAAGTACAGTTGACCCCCCTATAACATGCATTCCTATAACGTAGCGAAAAAATTGTAGCAACATTCGTATAAAGGAGCTCCTAAAACGTCGTCACCGACTCGTTTCGCGACAAGATTGATAGAATCTGGACCAATAGTGGATGAGCAGCCGAACTACTTTCCTCCGCCCTGCGCCACGCTACGGAGCGGCTAAATTGAGTTTGCTATCATCTGTACAGTATTATATATAAATTAGGTACTGTACATATAATTATATATAAATTAGGTACTGTATATATAATTATATATTAACTTAATTTATTGTAACTTTATTATAATTATATATNATTCTAGTATTGATAATAAAACTATTATTCGACAGATTATTTGAAATCTTAATTTATAAAATATCAGAAATTAGACCATGAGTAATGTCATGTTTTAGATAAAGTGAATGAAAAAACTGGAAAAACTTAAATAAAACTTATTTGATCTATTCGTGTAAAAATAAAAAAAATTCGTTTTGGTGTTATATTATTTCATACAATTATTGTGTTTTAATTTTATTCGATATTAAAACATTTAATACTTTCATATTTTAAAAATTGACTTGAATATTCTTAACATTCGGATTATTTCCTTTGAGTAAAAATTACTTTTGTGATTAGAAAAATTAATTTTGTGATTAGTGCCACTCAAATTTATTTAGGAAATTCATTGAAAAATTAATTTTGTGATCTGAAATAATTTTATTCAACAAGTTGTTATTTGCAATTTTAATTTAATTGACATCTGAAATTAAGTTTGTGATCAGTATGTGTCTAATTACTACTACTATTCACAAAGCTATGTTAAATTTTAATTTACCTAATTATACTCATATCACGTCTAAATTTTTAATACAGTTGTCCCTCTATAACACGGTAGATACGTTCCGTTGTTTATGAATCGATTTCTTACGGAAAGTAGTTCGGCTGCCCGATTACGTTTTACCGAATTATAGAAGTCTTTTTTACCAGGTTTGTACGGATACCGTCGCAATTTT